CTCCAAAATCGAGTCACGATCATCGGTTCCTTCATAAGTTACTCTTAGTTTATCCCACATTTCTTGAGCACTCTTACAAACGGAGATCCTGTAAAACTCGTCAAGGGTTAAAGCAGATGAAATTATATTTCTAGCCCTAACATCAAATTGTGCTTTTCGACTTTCGTCTGCAGTCCATCTAGAAAAAGGTTTAAGAACGTCAACACCGTTCTCAGTAGTTTTAGGAACAAATGGACCGTTTAAAATAGCGTCCCAAACGCCTCTATCAACAGACTCTAAAAATATTTGCATACGTACCTTCCAGAAAGGATAATTTTGACCCACAAAAAGTGGGGGTCTGTTGATAGACGCACCTTCGGCAAAAGTTTGATTTTGTTCGACCATTTTCGAAAATTTGAATGACTATCAAAGCAAGCTCTGATACCACTTGTTAGAATCGCGCAGCGGAATGTTCGCATGGTCGGACAAAAACCAAGAGGGGGGGTGAATTGGTTTCTTAATAAAAATTAGGTTTTCAAAATTTTCCCCAAATTTTACCGATTAACAACTGTGTAAATGTAAATAGAGAAAGGGATAGAGTCTTATACAGGAAATTTATACTGGTTCGGATCAAAAGACCCTACGTCCAATTGCTAATCACTCAAACAGAGGATTAACGTTGTCACTATAAACAAAGTTATTACAAATTACAATGGAAAAGATAAAGTTAAAGATAACACCTCTCTTGAAACCCACAAGAGATGAAGAATAGCTTTCCCCAGAGACGGCACAGCACACAATCCACTAAGAACTCCACTTAGTGATTCTTATCGCTTCTAGCCCACACCAGGTTCCAAAAGCACCCTTTCCTTGCAACAAACAGTTCTCTGGCACTCACAGCACTTAACTTTTGTATGGAAAGAGTTGTTCTTTTTTCTGAGTGCCAAAGGAGAGTTTAAGTAGGGAAATTAGGGTTTAGGATTTGGGGATTTTGAAACTAGGGTTCTTGGTAATTGGGTTTTCGAAAATAGGGTTTGTTTGAAGTTTAAAATCAGAAACAGACTGGAATAATCGATTATTTGGAGTAATAATCGATTAAAACAGAGCCAAATACGTCAGAACCCAATACTCTCTGGTTTAATCGATTATTTGGTGAAATAATCGATTATCTGTACGGAACTATACGGAATAATTGATTATTTTGTTGTTTAATCGATTAAAGCAGTGAGTTTGTACGTAAAATGGTTTTCTCACTGTTTTAATCGATTATTTACCTATTTAATCGATTAAAGCTGAGCCTGAATGATAAATTTGAGCTTTTTGAAGCTTCTAAGTTACAGACTATGTACCGGCTATCTTAGATTCTATAATTACAGACTCAATCTAATTAAAATAGAGTTATTACACTACAAAAACAAGTCTTCAACACTCTAAGTCTTTGAGTTCTTGAATCATCATCAAAATCATCAATCTTCATGTTCATCAAGTGCAACATCAAGTCCTTGAATGTTCAACATCTTCTTCCTTTTTACTCTTTCTTTTGGAAATTTCAGTTTTGAAGGCTAAGTTCCTCTTTTGGTGTTGACCTTCTTCATCATTTAGCCTTCCTAGTTCTAGCTCATGCTCTCTCAACTTTCCAAAGAGCGTCGCCATAGACATTGTGGCAAGGTTTTGTGACTCTGAGATGGCTGCCACCTTAGGTTGTCATTTCTTATCCAAAGATTTCAAAATTTTTACGTTTAATTCATCAACATCAAAAATTTTACCTAATCCGGTGAGATCATTCACAATGTGTGTGAAACACTTTTGAATGTCAAATATTTTTTCTCCTTGTTGCATTCGGAACATCTCATATTCTTGGATTAGAGAATTTTTCCATGCTCTCTTAATGTCGTCAGTACCTTCGTCGGTCACTCTTAACATTTCCCATATCTCTTGAGCACTTTTACAAACGGAGATCCTATAAAACTCATCAAGGGTTAAAGCAAATGAAATTATATTTCTAGCCCTAACATCAAATTGAGCTTTTCTATTTTCCTCCGCCGTCCATCTAGAAAATGGTTTAGGAACGTCTACTCCATTTTCAGAAACTTTAGGAATATAGGGACTGATGAGCCATTATTTTCCCGCATTTTCTTATCTTTATGTACAAACTAAAAGTTAGTACAAACTAAGCTACCTAAACTACAAAATACACACAATATAATATAAACAATAACCTAAAAAATTAAGTACTAGAATTGTTGAACGAAAAACCTTGCCCATTATTCTCTAATTTGTGTGATATCATATTCTGGCAATGGAGATGGATCTTGAAATACCTGAAACATTAATTTGACTCTTGTAAACATGCAACACACCTAAAGTTAAATAAACTTAACTAATGCTGAAAGCAATTATGGTATTCACTTATTATAATAAGTTTCTAACCTTAGGATAAATGAACTGCAAAGTCTTTGTTCTGGGTTTTCCACTTAGAACATTAGTTATAGACACGATTCTAAATGAAAAAAAGTCATATATTATTCAATATCTTTTCCATTTTCACTAGCAAATTTCAAAAATTCATCAACTTCCTTTTCGTACTCTTCACTAATACGATGTGTATTCATCCAACTTCGATTTATATTATGTTATAAAGTTTCGTCACTCCTAGATATTCAAAATTTATATTTAAAAATAAATTAATATACAAACAACAAAGCACGTATATATGGAGTGTGTAAACTGAAAATGCACTCAAACAAAATAATGACATTCCAATAACAATCCAGTGGAGACATTCATACAATGACGTGATTGAGATCCCCAAAAACAATCACAGATTCAATTTGAACATATATCAGGAGACATAGAACACTAACCTCGAGTAAACACGAAAATGATTTCAAACTCGAATCCAATCGGGGAGAAATGTCAAATTCGTAAAATGAGACACAATGTTGATGTTCTTCACTGCCAAAATGATCGAAAATGGTGTGGAAAGGTAGTTGTCGTCGTCGTTCTCATTGTCGTTCTAAAAAACCCTTGCGGCGCGAGATGCGGGAGTGGCTGTGGAAGAGAATAAAAAGAACTTTTTACGTCGCACACCCTAGCACGTGACGTAAAAAGCCTCTTTTACGTCGCGTGAGGGGTGCGCGACGTAAAAAGTGATACTTTTTACGTCGCGCACCCCCCATGTGACGTAAAAAGTATCACTTTTTATGTCGCGCACACCCCATGCGACTTAAAAAGCTCTCTTTTATGTCGCGATGTACCAGGTGCGACGTAAAAGAGGTTTTTAACGTCACCTCCTACAATATGCGACGTAAAAGTTTCACCTCTTATTTACAAAATTACCACCGCGTTTTATTTACGTCGAATATTTTGACATGCGACGACAATTGGGTGACGTAAAATGTCATTTTTGCACTAGTGTAGGCCTAATGCTTGAGATGAAAGCATATTGTCCATGGTAAAATGAACATTTGGTCCTCATTTTCTCAAAAAGATCCCCAAGAATGGCATCAGCTGAATGATCTTTTGTCAGGTGATGATCTCTACATAAGGTTCTTTCTTCTCATATGGTGTAACCTCAAATAAGTCTGGTGCATTAATAGATGATACTTTTCTTAGTTCATGTTTTGTGTGAAGTTAGTATTCAAATTGTTCTTGTAATTTCTTGCAAAACACATTTTTCCTCTCAACAACCTCATTTTGTTATGTTGTTCTTGGAATTTAAAAAGTTGGGTTTTATTTTATATTCATAACAAAATTATTAAAGGTTTTATTTTCAAATTCTCCATCATAATGACTTCTTATAGAGACAATGATAATACTTTTGTTTCATTTTGAACTGTTTTACAGAATCTATAAAAGGTATCAAAAGACTCATCCTTGTAGGATAAGAATTTTACCAATGTTCATTTTATGTAATTGTCTATAATTACTATACCACTTCTCTTTTCACTAACAAATGCCGTTATTTTTTGACCAAATAAGTGAATATGTAACAACTCAAGTCGTCTTTTAGTTGAAACAAAATCTGGTATTAATGATGACTTTTTTTATACCAACCAAGTACAAAATCAACCCACACTTCCACACTAACTTTTCCAACCAATCCATAGTTATTAAGCCATGATCCCATCAACCATCCTCATCCACCATTTGACCCTTTCAACCCTTACACATTGCATTTCCCTAATTCAACCTATGAATAAAGAATCAGTCAACGTGGATTAAACTAGCTTAGGCCTAGGCATCAGGTAATTTGTCAAACATTAGATGCTTGCAACATCTGATGACCTAATCAATGATCTTCATATGTTAGTTGCTCATAACTATATGATTTTATATATTAGTTTACACTAGTGCAAAAAGGGGCTTTTACGTCAGGTATTTAGGGCTTTTTACGTCGTATTTAAGTCTGACGTTAAAACAGGAGACGTAAATTTACGTCGGACCCTTTAGCCCGACGTAGATTTACGTTAGTTATCAAGACCCGACGTAATTTTGCGTGGCATATACCACTAAACAGACGTAAAAACTTTCGAAAATAAAAAAAAATAGCAAATTTACGTCGCATATGGTAAATGCGACGTAAATTTACGTTGCATATACCAATACGCGACGTAAATTTACGTCGCATATGCCATATGCGACATAAATTTGCTGTTTTTTTTTTAAAATTGGGTTTATTTATTCTGTTTTACAACTAAAACCTGTAAATATTATAACCAGACAGTCCAGAGGTTTAGTTTTCTTTAACTAGTAAATTAAAAATATAATATTATATAATTTAAACTACATAATAAAACAATATAATACAAACATACAAACTAAAAAATCTATTACAAACTAAAAGTTAATACAAACTAAGCTACCTAAACTACATAATACACACAATATAATATGAACAACATCTTAAAAACAATATCATGATTAGCTCACCAAACCCCACCCAACTAGTTGCAACTATGCTATATACCTTGCTGGAATTTGGGACCAACTTTTGCAATGTCTTCATTCTTTGGTTTATCTTATCCCTCCTTTTCTGAAAAGCCAATGCGAAAATGAACCAAATGAACATCAAATTGTTGATTTTGTTGTTGCAATATCATCATTGCAACTTGCAAAATTGATTCAACGTTTACCCTTTCAGATTGGCTATGTATGGCCGCAGCTCTACTCCTTTTAGTGGAAACTGAAGATTTTCCGTTTCCTCTCTTTTTCTTTTCTTCGTCCCCGTCTTCACCCTTTACAAATAGACAAACACATCAAAATTATATTACAAACTTTTTGTTAGAACTACTAGAGGTCGATAAGATATAACTTGGTCAAAAAGCTTTTTACCATAATTAAGTTGGAAATTATCAGAATTTTGAGCGTAATATTACTACAAAGGGAATAGAATTCAAAGAGAAAATTTTCGGTCACAAAACAACCAGAGAAAATTTCACGTATTTTCTATAAAACAAAGAGAAATATTGTCAATGAAAGGGAAGTGTAAAAAAAATAAAGATACAAGAGTGTCTATAAATAGAGAAAAATGCATACAAGCTTATTTTAAAAGATACCTCCTATAGAAAATAAATTCCAAGTATAAGCAATATCTATATAAAATATTATATGATGTAATATTTACTGCGGGAAACAGAATCATGGTCGTCGACGGTGGTGGTTTTGGTGCAGGGCTTAGCGGAGTTGGTGTTGTCGAGGGAGTTGATGGAGGTGGAAGTGAAAGCTACACCAAAATCCCTGTCGCACGTGTCAAGGGTCACCTGCTTGCTATCCCTCCCGAATGTGGCACTGCCACTCACACTCTGATCCCTCCCACTCATCTCCTGCCCCTTCGCGCCCTGGTTGCCGCAGCACGACCCCACACGTGTGGAGCACCCCACCATGCACGTGCTGGGAACCGACTCCATGCCCTGCTTTCTCTGCTCCCGCTTCGTGCACGACACCAATGCGTCCATCGTCACCGTGTTTGCCGCCGTGGCACTCCCGTTAGGGTCGAACCACGGCACCACGAAGTTCCCATACACGCTGCCGTCTCCGTTCAGCGTTGGCTTTCCGCGGTGCGGCAAGCTCGTGGCTTGGTTCACTATGGATTCCAAGGTGCCACTGGCGCGAGGTTTCTCCCATGTGTACTTGCTCCCGGCGCTTGTGGGGGGCTTCACCGGCACACGCGGTAGCCCTAAGCCATGCATAGAAAGTTGACCATTTTCCCATGTCAGCTCCGCAACCTAACCTGAACTCATCAAGCCACACAAACCACTACATCATTAACTGTGAAGTAGTAAAAAGCTATCACTTTTTACGCCGCGCCTCCCAGCACGCGACGTAAAAGGCCTTATTTACAAAATTGTCACCGCGTCATGGGGTGTACGACGTAAAAGTTTTGTCCCTTATTTACAAAATTGTCACCGCGTTTTATTTACATCGAATATTTTTACATGTGACAATAATTGAGTGACGTAAAAACTCTTTTTTCCACTAGTGTTATCTCATAGGTATCAATTGATAACATTGTATTAGTTGATCTTTTCAATCAATCTAGTATTGAGCGACCTCTTACTAGTTATCTTACCAATTGATTCCACCAGTTGATCCTAAAGGGCTACTTTGTGATCTAATAAAGGTTTTAGACTTCATTACTTTCATCTTTACAAAATATCATCTTCAAGAAAAATAACCACTTCAGTTGTGCCCCCAAACAACCTTGTGCTCCACTATCAATAAATTCTAACAAGACCTATATCACTATACATAGCCAATTATTCAAAAGTTTCTCTTACTTTCACTAGTGCAAAAAGGGGCTTTTACGTCAGGTATTTAGGGCTTTTTACGTCGTATTTAAGTCCGACGTAAAAGCGGGAGACGTAAATTTACGTCGGACCCTTTTACCCGACGTAGATTTACGTCAGTTATGAAGATACGACGTAATTTTGCGTGGCATATACAATAAATAGACGTAAAAACCTTTTCAATTTAAAAAAAAAAACAGAAAATTTACGTCGCATACAGTATATACGACGTAAATTTACGTCGCATATTGGTATATACGACGTAAATTTACGTCGCATATACCAATATCGCGACGTAAATTTACGTCGCATATGGTATATGCGACGTAAATTTACGTCGCATATTGGTATATCGCGACGTAAATTTACGTCGTATATACTAATATGCGACGTAAATTTACTTGTTTTTTTAAATTGGGTTTATTTACTCGTTTTACAACTAAAACCTGCAAAAATTACAACCAGACAGAGTCGAGCGAGTTTTCTTTTGCTAGTAAATTAAAAATATAATATTATATAATTCAAACTACATAATAAAACAAAATAATACAAACATACAAACTAAAAAATCTATTACAAACTAAGCTACCTATACAAACTAAGCTACCTATACAAACTAAACTAAACTACATAATACACACAATATAATATGAACAAGAACATAAAAAATAATGTACTAGAATTGTAGAACAAAAAATTTTGCCCATTGTTCTCTAATTTCCGTAATCTCGGATTCTAGTAATGGAGATGGATCTTGAAATACTCGAAACATGAATTTGACTCTTGTAAGCATGCAACATGAATAAAGTTAAATAAACTTAACTAATGTTAAAAGTAATTACCTCCGTCCAAGAATCAATTAAACCCGCACAAACTATGGCTCTCATCCAATACATTACATAGTAACCACATTCAAACGAGTCGGTTTGCTTATTACACCGAAATGATGAAAAAAACATAATATTATTTTCAAAATTGAAATATAAACAATAATTATGGTATTCACTTATATAAATAAGTTTCTAACCTTAGGATAAATGAACTGCAATGTCTTTGTTCTAGGTTTTCCACTTAGAACATTAGTTCCGATACACGATTCTAAGTGAAAAAAAGTCATATATTATTCAATATGTATTCACAATTTAAAAACATAATTAATGAATAAAAGATAAAGTTACCCTTGTAATAAGCTTTTCATTTCTTGACTCGGTTTCCGATGTAATGAACAAAACCATACCACGAGTGTAATCCCGGGTATGATTACAATTAACTGCCAATGGGACCTACATTGTATGACATAAAAATTAGTTACAAAAATATAAATTAAAATACAAATCAAAATACTAACCCTTCAATGTATGGAGCCAAATATATATGTCTTCTTGAGTCACTCATCCATGTTTGCATATATTGTTGGATTCCAACCTTTGTATTTCCAGATTTTTGGATGGATTGAGGCTCAATAAATCCGTATACTTCGGATTTTTCTTGTTCCACACTCAAATTGTCAAGGTACCTAAAACAATTAATTATAAGTTGAATATAATTATTATAATCTTAGAAACATAAATGAAAATGACTTTTTTGGATATCAAATGCACCATGATATCAAAAAATGAAGGGGAAAATACATTTCTAACCGGCACACTATTACAATTGCTTCATTTTCTAATTCATCTAACTTTTTTGGATCAATTACCTTTTTACAAATGGCGTTGAAAAACAAACATAACCGAGTAATAGCAATTCTAACAGAAGTTGGTAAGATGTTTCGAATAGCCACTCGGTAAAAGTTGTTGCATCAACACATGACAATCATGAGACTTTAAACCAACTAATTTCAACTCTTGCATAGACACAAGACTCTTAACATTTGAGGAGTATCCTTGTGGCACTTTGACCTCACGTAAACACTCACAAAAGCTTCTCTTTTCTTTCTTTGATAGAGTATGACAAGGCTGGAGGTAAGTAAGTGCGTTTTCCAATTGATTGTGGATGTAATTCGGAACGTATACCCATGTCCGCCAAATCTTGTCTTGCTTTTATTCCATCTTTTGTCTTTCCTTTTATGTTAAGCAATGTCCCAATTACACTATCACAAACATTTTTTTCAACATGCATCACATCTATACGAGTGTCTAACTTCCAACTTACACCAATAAGGAAGATTGAAGAATACTGACTGTTTCTTCCAAATGTTTTTCTCATTGGATTTCTTTTGGGTCTTTCCAAACACAATATTAATATTTTTCACTTGCTCATATACTTGTTCACCATTGCGTGGTACTCGATGCAACTGCATTCTCCGACATCCATTAAATGCTTTCTTCATTTTACGATATGGATGGTTAGCAACTAGAAACTTTCTATGCCTATTGTACGCAGCTTTTTGTCCATGTTTCAATTGGATATAACTTGTGTCTTCTTGACATATAGGACACGCTAAATGACCTTTCACACTATAACCGCTCAAATTACCATATGCCTGGAAAATCATTTATAGTACAAAATAACATTGCACGCAACCTGAAATTCACTTCGTGATATGAATCAAATACATCCACTCCTGTTTCCCACAACATCTTCAAATCATCAATTAAAGGACTAAGATATACATCTATGTCATTTCCTGGTTGTCGAGGTCCTGAAATCATCATAGATAACATCATATATTTTCTCTTCATGCATAACCAAGGAGGCAAATTGTAAATGATCAACATAACTGGCCATGAACTATGTTTACTACTTAAATTTCCATAAGGATTCAAACAACGAACACATGGACAATAATATGTCCCTTTCATAGCTTTTCCATTTTCACTAGCAAATTTCAGAAATTCCTCAACTCCCTTTTCGTACTCTTCACTAATACGACGTGCATTCATCCAACTTCGATTCATATTATGTTATAAAGTTTCGTCACTCCTAAAGATTTAAAAATTATATGTAAAAAAAAATTAATATACAAACAACAAAGCACGTTCCAACAACAATGGAGTGTGTAAACCGAATGCACTCAAACAAATAAACAAATAACTGCATTCCAATAACAATCCAGTGGAGACATTCATACTATAACGTGATTGAGATCCCCAAAAACAATCACGGATTCAATGTAAACATATAGCAATGACAATGAACACTAACCTCGAGTGTAGACGAAAACTGATTTCAAACTCGAATCCAATCGGGGAGAAAGATGAAGTTCGTCAAATGACACGACAATGTAGATGTTTTTCACCGTAAAACCGCTCGCAAATGGTGTGCGAGAGGTAGTCGTTGTCGTTGTTCTCGTCGTCGTTCTCAAAAACCCCGGTTGCGCGAGACGAGGAAGTGGGCTGGGAGGGAAATAAAATAGACTTTTACGTCGCGCAGTGTAGTAAGCGACGTAAAAAGTCATCTTTACGTCACACTGGGAGGCGCGACGTAAAAGATGGCCTTTTACGTCGCGTACAGGGGGCGCGACGTAAAAGCTAAGGCTTTTACGTCGCGTCCCCGTACGCGACGTAAAGGCCATCTTTTACGTCGCGCCTCCCAGGTGCGACGTAAAAGATGACTTTTTACGTCTCCTATTGGGGTGTGCGACGTAAATTTTTTGTCCCATATTTACAAAATTGCCACCGCGTTTTATTTACGTCGAATATACGTGCATGCGACGACAATTGGGTGACGTAAAAGCCATATTCTGCACTAGTGTTTAGAGATATCTAATAACACAACACAAGTGCAATCATTAGATAAGCGTACACATAAACAATAACTTTTTTTCCTTATTCGCCATTTGATTTTCTCTTATTGAACCTATTCTTTCACCTTTAGCTTCCCAACAACTAGTTGTTCCACCACAACCTATGTTATAATGTTTTTCCTACCTTTTTCTTAATAACGAAAGGGAAAAAAGTATTTGATAGTTTTCAAAATTGTTGTTAATAGTCTTGTATATTGTATGCAAAGACTTTTAATTCTAATATATATTATGATAACAATCATATCATTACACGCTCTAACAACATCTTGAATTTTTGTCATATTCTAATATTATTTATTCATCTTCTTTGATACATAAGTTGTTACATATTTTTCAAATTCAACAAATAGTGGCACTGATTTCAATTATTCAATTTAGTATCAATTACTGATGAGTAATGATATAAAATGACTCTAATAAATTTGTCACAATCATTATCACTACAAAGTTAATGGGTTGAATGGTCATTTTGTTTTTTTTTTGAAAGTGTAATTTCTTTTGTAGTTACAACCCATCGGTAATAATTAACGTTACAATATGATATTTGATAACTGATAGCAATTTAGTCATATAATAATGAGATTAGTTTTTTTTTTTTACATCCATCCTTGTTACAAATGTAATGATATTTGTCATCGTAGAAAAGAGAAAAATTATTAGACTTAGATAGTTAGATGATCATAAATCTTATATTAGTTGAATACTTCATCCATACTTTAATATTAACAAATCTAATTAAGTTTTGTATATTTAACATGTGCACTTAGAATGAATGTAGGAATGATGCATTGCTGATAGTATTATTGTAAATAGTATTTTTTTTTTCCTTTTATTATGCAAAATTAACCTAAGAAGCTAGCTTTTGTACCAATTGAAATTATAGGTTAGCTCTAGAAAAGAAGCAATTTGAATAAAGCTAAAACTTTTTCACGATATTTATTAAGAAAATCTACTTACTAATCAAGACAATGCTCTTAAAAATAATTCACAAACAATAAAACAATTTTTCAAAACAAGTATTTGAAAGGTGAATTAAGTAAACCGGAAAGCATGAAATTTAATGAAACACTTGATTATAATGTAAATTGCGTTCATCTCTCCTCTAACAAACTATTGAAGGGTTTTATTATAATTTGTTAGACTTAGATAGTGAAACGATCTCAAATCTTGTTGACTACACCCATAATTTTGATGATAGCAAGTTTTTGATATTAAACATGTGTATTTAGAATGAATACATGAATCACACCTTATAATCGAAGTAATCAATAACATATTACCTAATGAAGCCAACATATCACCTTAAGGTCATCAAACTCAACTAATGTTTTTAAAGTTACATGTTGACTAAACATCATCTCATATGATAAACCTAGTATACCACCTTACAATCATTAGAATTGATTGGCACTCATGAAGCTACATGTCGACTACACATCATGTCATTTGGTGAACAAGTAAATCACTCCATGGTCATTCGACTCAAGTAACATAATGAAGCTACATGTCGACTAACCATCCCATTTGATGGACCTAATAGACCATTTTATAGTTATCATAATTGACTAACTATCATATCATTTGACACACTGGACAACTACCATATCATTACCACTATCAAATAATTATCATATTTCATTGGATTGAGATTCGACAAGTTTAGGTTCACTAATGAATACTCAAAGTTATTGCACACAATTTGAACTAAACAAAAACACAAACTCCAAGGATGTTATTCACATGCAAGTTTACTAAGGTAAAACATATCAAAGCATAACAACATTCTTGATGAACTTTGGCCCTGCTCATTATCCAATGTATAAAAGTTACCACACACTCTAAAAAACCTAAGAGACATATCAAAAGTTGTATCAGCAAGAATCGCCTTTAGCCTCACATATTACAATTACTATTTTATCACGAAGATTATAAAGAGATATGCAACCATGCAGACACAAGAAGAATAAGTGAAAAAGAATACTAATTGTGTCAAAAGTGGTCTTATGTACTTATTGTACCAAGAGTAGCCTATGTATTTGTTCTTTAACACAAGGGAAGTTAAAGGGTTGTCAAAAGTGGCATTATTAGGTACTCCTTGTAAGCCAAAAGTGACAATCAATAATACTTAGTTTAATCAATTGATTATAGTGAAACCTTAAAATAGTTTGTTAAAGGAGAACTGAACCTAGCTCAACTTGAGTGAACTAATGCAAATATTAAGTGTTTTTATCTCTCTCTTTCTTACTAATTTACTCAAGCCATCTTCTAATACTTATTTTTGAAAAATAATTTTATTGTTTTTTGAAACCTTTTTGAAAAGTTTTTTTTAGTATCAGACGACACGTCTATGGCATTTAATTAACCTTGCTATTAGCTAATACCTTTGCGAAATATTTTTAGCTTTATTCAAACTCCCTTTCTAAAACTAAAATATAATTTCATAATCAATCAAATTACAATCAAGTATTTTTCATTATCACTTATGGGTGCATAATGTCACTCCTAGCAACCCTTTAACTCATTTTAGTTAAAGTTCGAGTATTCTTTTATCACTAAGATTCTTCTAGCTCTTCGAGTACAATTAAAACTTTCTAGGCGTTACAAAAAGAAGTTTGAAAGAGATTATATGTGATCTACTCTCATAAAGGATATAAAATAGTTCCTGGTGTATTAGAGAGTTAGCTTCACCGAGTGAATGGTGTATAATTGAAAGCTTTCTCTTAAAACTAAGAAATATTATACAATATTTGTTGTATAAGATTTTAGCAACATTTTTGTTCTAATAGATAGCTTTGTTCTTGTTTATAGTCTTTATGTAAAGTTTGTCATTATGAAATGTGAGATTAAAGTTTACTCTAACTAATACAACTTCTAACATCTTTCCACGTTTTTCAAAAGATATGACAATTTTTATGCATGGGATAGGTAGAAGGGAAAGTTCACGAACAATGTCTTTGACTTATTCTATTTTAATTTGCTATGTTTTTAGTATACTTCAATAAGGAAAGTTAACTTCCTTGATTGGACTTTATGCAAATATTGAATTCAAAAGATGTGCATCGACTTCAAGTAGTCATGAGATGAGTTAACCTAGTTGAATCATTAGTTTGGGAGAATAGATCGATGTGCTTGTCGAGTCTGATGATCATATGATGTAGTTATTTAACTTCATCAAATGAAGTGTAGTTAAGTCCACCTGTACCTTCCATCTAATTGATTGGTATAGACCATTTGAATAACGTAAGTATAATTCCTAAACATATGTATTAAATGTTAAAAACTTAATTATATTTATTATCATCAAAATTATGGATATAATCTTTGGTTATTGTAAAAATTGAGATTGTCAAGCAACTCTAACTAAGACAAAGAAGCATGTTCAAGCATGAAACACACCACCTTAAACCCATGACCAAAGAAAGAACATCCCAAAACCATTTTATTTGAATTTCAAATTCAAATTTCCGTCTCATTTTATATTTAAATTTCAACACTCCTCTACTCTAAATAGTAGAACCATTCTATGTAAAAACACTTTATGTTTAAATGAGGAATTGAAAGTTCTAGAAATATATATCAGAATTATTACTTTTCTCGTACTTTTCTTGAGTCTTATATTGATTTTTAATTCCGGTGATGATTCTTTACTTCATTTATCTTTGATTAAGTTCTTCAAATGACATTACTCTTTCTTCTCCTAAATCTTCTCATCAATACCATTTCTAATTATACTTGTGTTGTTACTCTTGTTCTTATTCAGTTCCATATCTCATGCCTTCTAATGTCAGTTCATATTTTACTTGTTCTTGTTTTTTTTAATCATTGAGTCAAGCCTTCCCGTGAATATTTGAATATTAATTTTGACCAGTGACGAGTGATAAGATTTCCCTCCACTATATTTCCTAAGCTTTAGCATATATGAACTCTATCAGATCCAATATGAAAAGACCCAGAATATTATATCAATCCAATGTTAAAAATGATCGGCCATTGACCACCTTGGTAACCTAAACCATAAACCATAAAAGATAGTCTTTATCGTAATTTGTATGACAAGATAAATTATGTAATTCATCAAATCAAATATTTAACTGTAAAAGGATCCAAGATGGGAACCATTACCATTACTTTTTAGACCCGTTAAATCCCATAAAAATGATATAAAACATGGAAGATAGCATTTCTCATAAAAGTTGCAAGCTTGAACGACACCTACTCAAAGTCAGGGTTAACAATGAGGTTCAGAACAATGTTAGTTTGAATATATGATGCAACCAGCATTCCCTTCAAGGAAACCCTCGTCAGAATTGGTTCCAAGTACTCACAAAAGATCTAGACTATGTTTCCAAAGCGCTACTTAGATCCTATATACAAGGCAGCCACACAATCATAAAACAGTGCATCTTATCAAGCAATCTAATTCTGCTCCTATCTAAAAAATTCCATATGATTTCATGTCCCCATGCTTCTTGAATCTTTGTTAGTGTTGTAAGAGTTATTATCCCCTAGCCTTCTCCAAGTCAGGAAGATCTGCAAATGATAATTATTCATGTAAGGAGGAGACAAGGGCACAAAATAAATGTGTAAAATGATTATATCATAATTAAATATTGCATAAATAAAAAGAAATGATGTAGTTTTTAATCCTAAAACTACTAACAATTGTCAATCTTTGAGGAAATATATACATTCATTTTACAGAATAGGAATATAAAGCTCGAGCCATGAATGTGCACAGTATAATAATAACCGTATATTAAGACTATGGGCAAATTTTTCAATAACAAGTACATAAAGGAGAAGAAAATAAGGTAAAACTTAATTAAACTTCTCTCACAAGTTAAAATCAACTTATGTTGTACTTACTTCAACTTTTATAGAAGTCTTTTCATCTAATTTCTCAAGTTGGGGTACACAAGCTGAATTTACCTCTCCAACAAGTGTTTATTAAGAAGTTTTTCCAAAGAGGGCTTATGAAAGTCTAAAGGATTTTCATTACGCATATATTCCATACAGATATTAATATTAAAACAAAGACCATATTAGTAAGCAATTGAAAGAATCACTAAAATATAACTAAAGACACAAGGGGATCACTCACACAACATCCCTTCATCATCACTGCTACCATCATCTTGACCAGCAAACTGCAAAAAGAACAAGATGCCATTGGTTGAGATTTGGTACCAGGTTGTTAAATTTTGTAACTCTATTACATGTGGCACATGAAAAAACTAGTTTACCCGGGAATCATCATCAGATACAAAATCAGCTGCCAAAGGTCCAACAAAAGATTAATCAGATGAGATAAATACTCACAAGTAATCAAATCTATGTAATCCTTGAGAAAATTATGCAAATAACTAAACAAGGTTTTCCGACAAATCAGCCATCAAAGGTAAATTACGAAGATCAGGATGCTAAAAATGGAATTGAGAATAGTGACAGTGATGTGAATAGTGAGAATTCAGAATAACAACAGAATTTATAGAACAAGATAAATCAGCATAAAGAACAACAATTCAATAAGATAGGCAGCATCTTAAGCAAAAGGAATTTTAGGAAGTTAATCAGGATGCGCTAAAGTACTTGTTCCACCAAAAATGGTGGTTGGAGAAGGGAAATAGGAAGACCAGACGGAGAAGACACAGGAAAAGTAGAATATGTAGAAGGAGATGAAACAGAAGGGTAAGGTATAGGTAAGTTGTCATCATTTAATTAATGCATTCATGGCATTGATAGCCATAGAAATACAAATTCTCACATTTAATTACAAATTAAATTTTAAATATATCAGAAAATTCTAGCTTCCACGGGAAGTTATTATTCACAAAAGCTTACAATTTGATTCTTCATCATCTTCATCACACCATCTGTTCCAATCAACCTTCAAGTATGGAGCAGGTTTCTCTTCAGACTTCAGTAGCCTCTTCCACCAACCTTTTTCTCCTTTCTGAATTGAGCATAGTATGTTTCTCAAGCCAGACTTTGTTTTACAACCCTACATACAATAATCACAAATTTATGGACAGGACCATCAAACCTTTTCTCTTAAAAAGTTTGTGGAGGAAAAAGAAAAAGGAAAAATAGGTAACCTACAAGAGGCAAAACAAGAACAGTTGAGTCACATTCTATAAAAAAATTTATTTTACCATGAGATCTTTAATTTGTAGCATAATATTTGAGCAGTTTCATATTTTATTCAACTTTATTAGAACCTTAAACAAAAACAGTGTTTGTTTAAACATAAAAGCATTGCATGATTCATATATGCATAATATGGAAATAAATCCCACAAACTGTTCCATATAGCATACTTTTGCTTGAGAGAGTACTAAACACTCAACAGAAAAAATATCAATGGTGATCAGAGCTATGGGCATTAAACTGTCATGAAACAGGTGGTAACAGAACTAAGGGCAAAAATGTGATAAGGCAGGTGATTAAGGAAAACAAGAGGTGGCAATGAGAGGTTTCGATTGGAAGCATTGACCAAGTTTTGGGTGATATCGGAGTATAATGTAATCATAACAGTGAATCAATGACAAAGTCCTGACACTTTTCAAAAAAATAAGTTGCTCAGGATTGAGTTGTAAATAATTCTTCTTCCTATGTATCAAGGTTAAAAGCTTTATACTGTAACTTTAGTACATAAATATGTTAACTGCAAAGTGCAGTAGACCATAGGTTTCATGCAATAATGCTGCAGATATATTCAATTTTCGTCTATGTAAGGTAAGGCAAGGATTGACAGACCATAGTTTCATGTTAAAAATAATAATACCAAACACAATCAGACACAAACATCCATAAATATGAATATGGAATAGTACTCAGGATTTACAGGCTTTCAACAATGCCTGGTATATTAACAACAAATTATCATTGTAGACCATATTACCATATAGAAATTGTAAAATTCAAGGTAGGTAGACAATAGTGAAAACCCAAACCCAAAGGTTGTAACAGTTTCAACATAACAAGATTAAAAGGAAGCATTTCATCAAATAAGGTTTGGTGAACATAGGATCAACGTCAAACCATAATATGTCCAACAATTCCAAAGGGTAAGGGCACAACTACTTTCGGTCCATGGGGTTCAATTAGAATCGAAAGCTGAACGGTATTCAATGGACAAAAAGAAAAGGGGCGATTAAATTCATAAAAAACTACCAAATAATTGTAATTAAAAAATATACTCTGCCCCTAATCCTTCAAAAATCATTATACCCATCTGTACAATCACCGTTACCCTTACACAACCAGAAAACACGATTTCACACAAAGCATGCACAGGATAAAAAACAAAACCATAATCTCCCTCACCTCAGGTCCAATGGATCCATAAAGTTCCAAGCTAAAGCTGTAGGATTCATCTTGAACCCCAGAAGCAGAGAAACTAAACAAACCCTGAGGCTCACACTTCACAGAAACATCCTTGGCATCAGGTAGAGCAACAGTAAGGTAAACCTTATCAGAACGTTGAGCCCACAGAACTTCCGGATGGCGACTAATCTCCCACAAGATAAAAAAAGACACAATTTTTCAATGACATTTTATACACAAATGGGTAAATTGCTCAGAATATTAAACTCTTACATGTTACAACCAATGGATCAACAATGTTCCAAAATTCCCAATGTTTATCCCACAGAAGGTGTGAAACAAAAGTGGGAAAGGCGATATAGAAATGGGTGGTGATAAAAATTAATATTTACTTACAAGTGGTGAAAGTTTTCTTTCTTCATAGCAGAAATTAGAAAAAGATTTAGATTTGACTAGTAAGTGAAACAAATAAATATGAAAAAAAGAAAAAGAAAAAAAAGAACCTCATTTGCTGAGTGGGAAGGAGGAAGACGAAAGGAAGAGTGTTAAGAAGAAAACGGAATGTGGGTATGAATACGTTAATGTAACGACTTCAAGACAACCTCAAGCTTCGTTCTTGGCCATCTTGATCTCTCGATGCTTGTCACTGGTTCCTCAACCTACAGCCTACGAATATTCATTCCTTCGTTTCGAAGTAGCGTATTTTTATTTATTCTTTTCTTTTTAAATTATTGGCGATCCTTGCGAGAGATTTTTTTTTTTTAATATATGATTTCAGTCAAATTCCGACCTGTTTCTCCCTTCTTTTCTTAGCGTTTTCAATTTATTTTATATTTTTAAATAATATTTTATATTAAAAATAAATAATTATATTATATTAATAAATGTAAAATATAACTATTTAAAAATTTAAATAATATTCAAAATATTATCATTAATATTAATATAATAAGTATTTTATATTAATAAATATAATTATTTAAAATTTTTAAATAATACTATAAGTATTATTATAAATATTTAATAAGAGTTGATCTAGTAACTCATTATCTAATAGGTTTCGGTTTAGCTATGACTCTAAACTTATTAATTGATTTTTTAAATATATTTCAACGTGGTTTTCTTTAGCATATTACTATAAAAGAGAAACGAAATTAATCAATTAAGAACAACAAAAAATGTAAAAACCTTTCAAAAATATGAAGAAGTCTTATCTATTATACAATAACAATTAGAGTGCAAGAGCGAAAAATCTCAATATCTTACGGAGGATTCTTTACGAGCTCATATGTAATTTTGTCAAACAAACGAGAAGTTACAACAAGTATTTTATATAAAATTGATGAGAAAAGGTAAGTCAGACCTCTCATTGGATTTGCATAATTTTTAATCTTTTTTTATTGGAATTTTCGCTGATGGAAAAATATAATTCTATGATAACTTTTTATTATGTTTGTAGTCTAGCCGTCATAGTATATAGGACGGTAATATTTTTGTAATAATTTTATGAACTTTTTATGTCGGTTATTATGTAACTGATATGGTATGTGGACAAATTCACTTTCTATGTCAGTTTTAGTTTAACTGACATAAAAAGTGTATTTGATGACGGATATTTGGACAACCGATATCTTCTGTTTTACCTTGCCCTCGCCCCTCCACTCCATTTCATCACTTCACCCATAGTATAGTTCCCCATTCTCTTTGTCTGTACTGCAATCGTCATCGTCGATGTACGTTGCTCCACTTGCCGTTGTCGTCGCGCCACCTGTTGTTGTTGTTGTATGTTGTGCCACATGCCACCTATTGTTGTTGTCACCGCTGTCGTTGGTGCCCTTCGCTGCGAGTTTTGATTCTAGGTCTTCAAGAGGTAAGTTTTCGTGTCTGCTCTAGCCATTTGAATGTGTTTCTGTAGTCATTCTAGGTTTACAGTTTTGATTATGGTATGTGATAATGTTGTCAATAGAGGGAAAGATCACGGGTGCCCTTTAGCCAATTTAATTGCTAGATTCTAAGTCACTTTCTTTCTTGATTTTGATTTTGAAAATTAGATCTTTATTATAATCTAGTTGTTACATTCTAAGTCAAAACTATCATCACTTATGCTCAGCCTAATGTGAGACAAGACGACGAGCCTTGATTGGAGTCAGTCATGAAATCATCCACTATAGGACTGAACTTCCTATTGAAAGATTAAAATATTCAATCACATGACATCGTAACTTCTTAGCTAAAATGTCCTCAAGTCCAGGTGTTTTGAAGGCCTTGAGCATCCACAAAAACCTGTTTTGTTTCTACTTTTGTTGCGCCCTTTGTTCTTTTTTTCATCAACCATTTTCAGCAAAACATATTGGATGTTATCATCCTCAAACTATACTTATATGTTGTGTTATGTCACAGAAGGTAATAATGGATCGGAGTTGGATCAATTATAGACGAACAACAAATGAATATGAGAGTGGAGTAGAACAATGCATTGAATTTGCTAAGATGAATGTTCCGGATAATGATGGAAGATTCTATTGTCCGTGTGTTAATTGTTTGAATGAGCGAATATTACCGACTGAAGTTATTCGGGAGCATGTTCTTTGTGATGGTTTCCTAAAGAGTTACATAAAGTGCACATGGCATGGTGAATTATTAAACATGCCAAGTGTAGAAGACAAAGAAGAAGTTGATCTTGAGATGGATGATCAACTAGAGGAAATGATTCGTGAGCTTGGACAAGATGCCTTCCAACATACACATGTGTACGAGAAGTTGTCCAATGATGCAGAAAAGCCTTTGTATACAAATTGCACTAAGTCCACACGATTGTCAGTGGTACTAAAATTGTTCAATGTGAAGGCAAAAAATGGGTGGACTGATAAAAATGTCACAGAATTGATTGAGTTGGTGAGTGACATGCTCCCTGAAGGTAACACATTTCCAACCTGCAATTATGATGCTAAGAAGATATTGTGTCCAATGGGTATGGAGTACCAAAAAATTCATGCATGTTCGAATGATTGTGTGTTGTACAAAAAAGAATTTGAGATCGAACTTTCACGAATGTCCACAATACTAGGAATCACGATACAAGAAGAAGGATGGTGATTCTGACAATGATGTAATGAAGGGTACCTGGCGAAAGTGTTATGGTATTAAAGATGGTCAGTTGAGGCATCCAACAGATGGATTGCAATGAAAAAAAATTGATTCCATCTTCTAGAATTTTGGTAATGATCCAAGAAACATTAGGCTTGGACTTGCTATAGATGGAATGAATCCATATGGAAATTTAAGCAGTAAACATAGTTCATGACCTGTGGTGTTAGTGATTTACAACTTACCTTCGTGGTTGTGTATGAAACATAAGTACTTGATGTTATCTTTGATGATCTCGGGTCCCAGATAACCTGGAAATGACATTGATGTTCTTTTAAGCCCATTGGTTAAAGATTTGAAGATGTTGTGGGAGGAAGGTGTTGATGTGTTTGATGGGTACACAGGTGACTTATTCAAGTTGCGTGTAATGTTATTTTGTATAATTAATGACTTTCCAGCATATGAAAATTTGAGTGGCTACAGCACCAAGGGACATAAAGCTTGCTTGATATGTGAAGAAGGCACATGTCACTATCAACTACAACATGGAAGGAAAATAGTGTACCTTGGACACTTGAGATTTCTTCCTTCAAACCATTCATATCGTAAATTAAAGAAAACATTTAATGGGTGTCAAGAAAATGATGCAGCCCCAACACCTTTACGTGGGGAGGAAGTATATTAATGAGCGAGTGCAATTTCGTTTGAGTTTGGAAAGACGTAAAAGAAAGCCACAGGAATATGGAAAAAAATGTCAATCATTTTTGTTCTTCCATATTGGAGGGTTCTTGATGTGAGACATTGTATAGATGTCATGCATGTAGAGAAAAATGTGTGTGACAGTATCATCGGAACACTCCTTAACATTCAAGGAAAGACAAAAGATAGTGTCAATGATCGTTTTGACATCGTTGACATGGGTATAAGAGAACAATTAGCTCCTCAACCTCATGGTAACCGAACATACTTGCCTCCAACATGTCACACACTGTCTAAAAAAGAGAAGAGAAGTTTTTGTGAGTTTTTACGAGGTGTGAAGGTTCCATAGTTAGAACTTGCGTGCAGTGGAATGTTTGCAGTTACGAACAAGACCAAAAACCAAGAGGGGGGGGGGGTGAATTGGTTTAGTTATAAAAATTAGGGTTTTTAAAATTTTTTCCAAATTTCACCGATAAAAATACTTATAATGTAAATAGAGAAAAGATGAAAAGATTACACAAGTGTTTTATACTGGTTCAGATGAAAAGACCCTACGTCTAGTTGCTAATCACTCTAAAAGAGGGTTAATGTTGTCACTATAATCACAGTTCAAACAGATTACAAATACAAAGATAAATATTAGAAAACATCTCTCTTGAGTCACACAAGAGATGAGCACCTCCTTTGAATCCACAAAGGATGAACAACAACTTTTCCTAGAGATGGCACAACACACAATCCACCAAGAGTCCCACTCAGTGATTCTTATCGCTTCAAGCCCACAATAGGTTTCAAAAACCCCTTTTTCTTCCTTACAAAAAGTTCTCTAGCAATCACAGCTCTTAACTTTTGTATGAAAAATGTTTGTTTTTTTGCAAAGAGCTTTAAAGAACCTTAAATAAAGAGAATAGGGTATGGGAAATAAAGGTTTTCAAAACTTGAAGCATTGGAAAAAGATTTCTCGAAAATTGATCCAAATTTGAAATTCAAAACTCATAACAGACGTAGATAATCGATTATCTTAAGTGATAATCGATTATTACATAACCATTTTCGTAGAGGAGTAAAACAGAACTAGGATAATCAATTATTTTGCTTGATAATCGATTATTCCAGAACTTTCAAACTGGGATAATCGATTATCAACCCAGATAATCGATTATTCCAGCAAGGTTTTTCAGAAAACAAGTTTCAAAGCATGATAATCGATTATCCTGAGTGATAATCGATTATTACAGAATGGTTTTGATAAAAATGAACTTTCAGAGGATGAACTATGTGATAGCTATCTTGGACTCTAATTTTACAGACTCAAAAGTATAAAACAGAGTTATTACAAGTAAATATAAATGCTTATAAGTATTCAAGACTTCAAGTCCTTTTCTATAGAATCATCATCAAAATCTTCAGGCATCATACTCATGTATAGTCAACAATCTTCCCCTTTTTGATGATGATCAAAATTTGCTTTAAAACCCTTTATAATAACCTGTTTTTACTGTCACAACTAACAAACTATTAAACATACCAGACAACATTAAAATTAATAAACATTTTAGGCTTTAAATATTTTCTCCCCCTATTTAGATCAGAATCAAAAAAATAAATAAAAGCTCCTCCTCAACATGTGCATAAAATGGAAAAAATAAGCAACTCCCCCTCAATCATAGAATTTTATTCAATAAATCAATATAGTACAAACAAACAAGAATTTTGAAGAAA